TATATATATATATATATATATATATATATATATACATATATATGTATGTATATATTGCCACTTATCTTTGTAATTGTTTTGTTCCATGTAAAGTGTCTTAAGAGCCTTCAAAAGTTATAAAAAATAAACCAATGAAGGGAAGATAGTACATAATACAATTATAGCTCCAAACCCTGCTACAAAATGTAAACTTTAAATTCTGTCAAAAGAACTGGAATGAGATAAAATCCTTCTTACTCAGTTTCCTGGATTTTTTCACTTCCATTTTTAAGTTACCAGACTTGTCTGAAGTGCCCAGAATATTTTCCAGCTCTCTGGTGCCCTCTAAAGCCTGAAAAACAGATTTATTTATTTTTTTAAAAAAGTCAGTATCAGTGCTAAGGTTTTTAACCTAAAAAAAACATTCCTTAAGCCTTCCATTTTTTTCACAATTCATAATGGCTACATAAACATACCATATTACTAGCATGTAATATTAGAAATATGCCCAATAGGATCAGCCCCATGAAGTTGAAAGTTAATTTCCTGGCTATATTTGATAGGTTGGAGAACCGAGAAAACCAGGAATTCCATTTTGGATATGAATTGAAGATTGCCTGTTGTGGTATTCTTCGGATTATTTCACTATCTCTCCTAGAGCAAATCAGATAAAATGAAGAGTTTCCCATAACACTGTCTTAATATCATGCACCAACATTTCCCAATGAAAATGCAGGGATGGTTGGACAGTGATTTTAATTCAGATATCCCCCAGTCCAAATTCATATTTAGCCACTATATCAAGATTCAAACATTTTTAAGGCTAAGGGAAACATCAGACTTTTAAAAAGCATATCAGAGGTTGCACTGCAAAAGAATAGGATTACTTACATATTTTAAAGAAGTTGTACTATTACTTACTTATAATTCAATTATTCCACTGTTACATTTTAAATATTCACTGACAGGAATCCCCATATTTTTCAATTATTACTAAATTTGAACAAAATTAAAAGCAAAGCCACCCCCAAGTCCTCTTACACATGTACACCTCTCAGACAGTGAAAGTAGCAGGTGAATGTAGAAGGTGGCAGCATTAGCAAAGAATTTGTGAGAATGTAGAGAGTTGTTTCAGACCCCCTAGAAAGATGTAATGGGAAAAAAGAGTCACCTTGAAGAACAGGATGAAGATCCATAACCAAGACTATAGTCAGAAAAGAAATCTAAATTCAGAGCAAACTGTAGCCTAGGCAAGCATCTCAGAAAAAGACCTTCTCTAGTTCTCACAAAGACAAAGGAAGAGAGCAAGGAAATGCACTCAGACTTGCAACATTCTGTTCATATAAACTTATAATAAATATAGCATTAGTGTGCATGACTTTGGTTCCCTAGTCTGGTTTACCTTGAAGCAATGGCACAAGCATACATATGCATCTATGGAATACTTAGTATTTCTACTGAACTCTGTCATTATGAGAGTAGTTATGAATAATTATTCAGCCACACACAGATACACTAAATTGAGTTAAAGTTTACTTTAAGAAATAGCACAGTCCAATAAACGGTCCAGGTCATATACGTTTTACAGTCCAAAGAATATCCAATTACAAAGTCTTCTTACCGGTTGCCTTCGTTATTTACAGTAAACAAAAATATCAAAGTATAAGCACAGCATAAATACAACAGGGAACCTTAGATAGCAACAGAATGTCAGAGAGAGCAAGCTATGATCTCTAGCTTCCTCTTATGGTAATTTGCAATATAATCAACCAATCAGAATATAGTATAAATCAATACAGTGATTTTGTCTTAAAGCTACAAACATACATCGTTGGTTTATATATTGCCAACCCAACTAATTGGTGGACAGATTCCTAACAAACTCAATTCACAATGAGAAAAAAGAAGAATCTAAGGACTAAGCTGTAATAAAGGGAGAGGGAAATCAAGAGAATTGAATTAATTTGATAAAGTGGAAAAGAATAATGATGGACCTTCAAATTGGTTAGTTTTTTTCGGGTTTGCAGGAATCTTTCCACAGAATGTTCAACTTCAGACTGCAATACCAAGAGTCTGTGTAAAAAGACAAATACAACATTAATGGCACAATACTTGAAACAAGAATGAGCAAAATAGAGACAAGGAAAATCTAGAGCTTCCATGTAAGGTTGCGCTTTTAGCAAACAACTTCTCCCTATCCCAGTTAAGGTTAAAACAACAGCCATATAAAGTTGCAACTATTTACATTATGGCATGCATCTGAAAAATATTTCTAGTTCATCAGGTTTCTTCCTGGTTGCATTAAGATTGCAAACATGCTTCAGTGTACTAATTTAGTATCTACTTACCCAGATATCCCAGTGTTAGAACTGCACATTAGAATTCCAACCAAGCCACATTCCAAATTTGTGGTTGTTCAAGATCAAGGAGAAAGTAAACAGTGGATATAAGAACAGAGAAAAAAGAACAATGGAAACCCCAGCACTATTCTGAAGGCCATTAGAAGGTCGATATTTGAGAGAAGGACTACACTGCACAAATATATTAAGTAAAAGCTCAAGTAGCAATTGCTTGCTCTGAACAGCTGAAACAACCAAACTGATATTAAAGGATAAAGATGAGGATTCCACAGATGTTGCTAAACTGCAACTCTTAAACTCTCTCATCATCAACCATATTGGATGGCACTGCTGCCAAATCCAGTTCAACAACATTGGAAGGAATAACAGTTTCTTGCAGAAGTAGGCCACCTATTATACAGGTAATCCTGTATAATTGTTGAAATTATTCAAAAATCATTTGAATAATATTTATGCCTGACACCCCCCCCCCCCCCCCCGAAGTTATGGCTGATGCAGCACAGTTGTGGTCACATGATCAAAATTCAGGCATGGTAGTTCCCTCACACTAACAAGACTAATGGCCTCAGTGGCCCCACCTCTGCCTGAGTGCTGCTTCAGCGAGATCGTACTGGGGCTGAAGTAGAGGCCTTCCAAAGAATTGTGAGAAGGACATATGCAATTTAGAGAACAGTAGATGCAATTTGTAAAAAAGGAAGAAGGCTGGGGTGGCCAGTGGCCGCCTTGCATAGGGCCAGGCCAGAGATGCCTCAGTAGCAGAGGGAGGGAGAAGACAGCAAATGTCACCTAAGTGCAGTAGGGGCTGGTAGAGCATAAGATACAATAGATACTAGGTGGTGGGGGCAGCCGGGGCTTTGTGATGCAGTGCTGGGTTGCTGACTGCAGCATGGAGCTTGAGGCAACACTCTGCAATGGTGCTGGCAGTGCTGGGGCTGAAATAGAGGCCCAAGGCAGCCACAGTCAGTAGAATCTACTGAAGGTACTGGACTTTTACTTCAGTCCCAGAGCTACCACTGCTGCTGAAGGATGTCACAATCCCGGGTGGCCAAAAGAACAGTATAGGGGAGCTAGTCAGACGGAGGGACTTCAAAAGGAGAAAGTCCCTTATCTTATTGAAACTCAGGGCAGGGAGGAAGCAAGTCAGTAATGGCTTGGGTTGGAGTGAGTCCGCACCAGGATAATTCAATTAACAAAACCAAGGGGGATTGCTGAGATTTCTGTCACTAAGTAATGCTTTCCGACCACATCACTTAGGGATGGAAATTCCGGTTCCAATCACTAGCCAAGGGCTACCTGTACAAATAAATTATTTAACACAGTTCACAACTTTCAATGACTCTGGACAGCTCACAACAAGTTAAAAAAAAACCAATAAAACATAAAATACCAAGAAAAAATATGGCAAGCATGATAAAGTGTGGGTCTTAATCTCTCTTTCCAATCCCTTGGATGAATGTGTCATTCAAAACATTAAAACATGGAAATGCACAGGAAATATTAGTACTAAAAAGTATTTGTATATATGGCATCTAGAAGTGCTAATGCTTTGAACACTCCCAAATCACCTGGAGTTGGAACTTCATGATAATTACTCCAATAGAAAATCTTACTTGTCATTGTTTTTCGTTTGATGTTGCTCCTTCCTATTGGATTGGATTGGCAAGACTATGGAAGACTCTCTGATTTCTAGAAAGATAATTAAAGAAGTAGGAATAAATTATTTATTTTCTCAATAAAGAACATTTCCCATTTTTCTGATCAATAGAAACTCCTCATTATTAATTTGTATGTATATATGTATGCATGTATCTGTATATGTCTGTCTGTCTATCTAATATAATGCCTATATCTAATATCTAATATACACACATAGACAGACAGACATATACAGATACATGCATACATATATACATACAAATTACTTCAATAATGAGGAGAGGGAGAGAGAGAGAGAGAGAAAGAGGGAGGGGGGAGAGAAAGAGAGAGCAAACCTGCAATGTTCTCCCTCCTGCATCCATTGAAAAGAAACAGTACACAACTTTGATTTTAATTCAATGTCACTGCATCATATAGTATATGCAATATCACCCCAAAATGGAGAAAACCCTATGCAAGTCAATGCTTAGCAACCATAAGACTTTTTAGCAGTCACTCTCATTGCAATAGCTGGGTAAGATAGGCAAACATTTTCTAGAGAAGAGAGGTTTAAATTGCCAAACAGTGGCTTTTAAGTTAGGAATGTATTTTCCCTCTCTATCCAGAAAAAGTTCAAAGGATCTGAAAAAGGAATTCAACATTGTAGAGAACTAAAACATTTTGCATCAAAGAGATAGGGATTTTCTCTCCTCAAAACCCCAAAGCCCATCCTTGAAGCAAGAAAGCAATAAAGAACATGTAGGGGGTTCCAGCCCCTCTCTTTACACCCCTCTCTTTATTGCCTTACTCTCTGATTAGTTTTAAACCAATTCTTTTCTTAAGGGGATTTGGAAACAAACACGTGCAGTGTGAAAAGGTTCAGTATGCTTGTGTTCAGTTTTGACTAGTGCACCAGTTTGTTCTTGGAGCTGATGCTCTGGCAATGGTTACTCATGCCCTCATGACCTCATTCTTAGGTTACTGTAATGCACTCTGCACATGGTTGTTTTTAAGGATTACGGCATTATCTTTTTATTTACAGAAGCTGCCCAGAGAGAGTGTCATGAGAGGATGGGCATAAAAATCCAAGTAACTAAATAGCTGCTGTTGATCTTCTGGCCAAATATTATCCTTACAGTCTGTCTCGATGGCAAATTGAATATGAAGTAGATGCCCATATCCTAACACAGGATGTGCAGATCAAGCCAAAAGCAAGCAACAAGCATTCACTCACACGTGAATGAAGCTTAATGACCATTCATTCAAAAGAATCACAACACAGTTATGTTCAGAAAAGTAAAATGTCATAACTTGCTTTGTGTTCAAATTAACAGGAAGGGACAGTACAGACAACATGACTCGGCCCATGTGATCTCTCCATCGTGGAGCCTGCTTGGTTCAATTATTTTTTCTCTCCTGCCCTCTCTAACCAAACACGAGAGATATTCACTGTGTGGTCTATGTCGCCTCCCTCTGGGAGACAAGATGGACTGGACTTAAAAGAAGAGGCAACAGAATTAGTGCTTAGCATAGGGCACAAGTGGGAGGTGGTGATCCACTGAGCACAGCTTGCTCCCAAGTCTTGTGACACCAAATGATTCCAGCTAAGGGAAAAGGCTACCTAAAAGCAGAAGAGGTTGGAGATGATTAAAGTACCATGTGAATATCACTAGAAGTGTTTCCCTGCAGTGCACTGGATCTAAAGGTTATATGCAATGTCAAAAGTCATGACTTAAAATTTACAATGGATAACACTGTTATTTTACTCCTTCAGGAATACAGCTTAAGTGCAGAACTCAAGTAGAAAAAGGCTGCAGGATCTCTTCAGATTACAACCTCTCGGCAGATTACAACAAATAATGTCCCATTCCCAAATTTAAATTGTGTTCTAAACACGATCAGATGGACCTTATGTTTGATTCATGAACAATACAGTGGCTTTTACACTGAATGCCCTGAGCATCCTCAAAAAAATGCTCTTGAACATTTGCGAAGTGTGTCCTCCTGGCTCCTGAATAACTATTATTAGCCTGAGAAACCTGGTACTTTCCCATACTTGATACAGAAATGAAGCTTTCTCTCATCAAGGTATATTAATTATCTTTCTGTTTGGTCACTGAATTTGGCACTCATGGATTTCTGCATTTATGTATAGCCATTAAAGGATTTGTAAGGATTAAAATCAATTTTTAAAACATTAATGCTTAGAAATCTAATTAAATTAGTAAAATGGCCTGTTGTTTATTATCTCATACTAATGTAGACAGAATTCTAGCTATGGGATCATATATTAATTTATTTTATTTTGTTTTAATTTATTCAATTTATGCACCAGCCAGCTCTAAACTGACTTTGGGAGTGCATAATAAAACAAAATAGAATAGAAAACACAATATAACAGTTACGAAATATAACAGTTATAAAAACAAGTAAGAAAGTGATAAAAAAAATAAGAACCAAAGACTAACCCACTGACCATCCTAGCACAAGGCCTGGGAGATCAGCCAATTATTTAAGGCCTTCTTGAATGTCATCAGGATGGGAACTAAGGGATATTAGGGGGAATCTAATTTTTAGAGTCTGTGTGGGATCAGCTATAGAAAATACAGGTTTAATGGTTAATGGCTTCCCTCTTTTAGCAACCATTCAAATTTATTATGGTGCTGAAAAAGTAGCTTTATAACTGGTCCTCAAACTTACAAGTATCATGGTGTATCCATGGTCATGGGACTACAATTTGGGTGTTTCATAAGTGGCACACATTTACAATCCTGCAACACAGAACCACAATTTGCGAGCTTCACAACCAACTTCCAACAAGCAATCAATGGAGAAGCTGTTAGTAAGCTGCAAATCGTGCTCATGTGACATTGTGCTTAAAAAACAGCAGTTGATTCATTTATATCAGCAGAACTAAGATGTACAAAGTCTGGCGCAATCATCTGAAGTTTCACTTAACAGCCATGTCATTTAGCAATGGAGTGGTTGGTCCCAACTGCAGTTGTTATATGAGGACTTCCTGTCGTGTAACATGCATTAAAAAGGCATGTGGAATAAGGGCTTTTTATTTAAAATCTTGCCTTAAAGCAGGTAACATATCAAAATAGAGATGATACAGAGACACTGAAGAGAATATCATTTAGGATTTTTAAAATATCCATTTCAATGTCCAACTATGCATTATGACATCTTTATCATAATACACACATAAAACTTACTTGTGGCTCACACTATTTTTAAGAAATTAAATTTAAAAATTAAGAGTAGAATTTTAAAAAAAACAGCTTACCATCTGATTCTTTGCCATTATTTCTGCAGCCTGACAGAACTAAAAAAAGGAAAGCTATTGAGGCTTTACTATATAATTATCCATCTAAATGTCAGCTGTGAACATGTGATTCCTTCTTTTATGTGCCAACGGACTGTTCCCTTATGCCCATACTTAATTACAGCATGGAATATAGCACACACTCACTTTTGCCTTTGATACTTAATGTTCAGGGATTTTACTTCAGGCATTTCTCCTTTTTTCCCCACTCAGAGTACAGGCATATGAAAAATGCGGTCAATCTATATGCCATATATATATATATGTGCTACACAAACTAAAAATCATAGATTTGTTAAAAGCCAATACTTTGTATACTGTCAATGAAAAATTCATTCAGGAAACCCAGTGTTTGGAGTTTTGAAGTTAGGTTAGGGTTAGGGTTACACTATAGATTATGAACATAGATAAATCTATTATTAATATTCAATTGAGAAGATGGGAATTACTGAGTGAATATAAATTCTTCAATTTGTATAATTGTTTTATTACAAAGGAGCTCTAACTTGCAATATGACGTACAAGGAGTACCAATTTTCCTTATTTTAAGTAAGCCATACATTTCCAAATGATATTTTCTTTCTGTACTTGACCAACAAAACAAAGGCTTCTTCAAAGTTAGCTTAACTCCTGGTCCACATAGGATTTTTTAAATTTTTGCCACTGCATTTTTCTGAGACTTTTTTCAAGTTTCTAGCCTTTTGTTCTATGTTTGTTATTTTTAACAACCTAATATTTGCAAATTGACTTGAGTAAAATAGTGAGCAGATCTGAGAGATACCCTCTCTTTTTACTGTATATTAAGATCTTTCAGCAATAGCTATTTCAGAAGATATACAATTTTCAGTACCACAGCTGAACAGATGTCACAGGACTTTTTCTAAGTTTAAGGCTATCAAGGAAATCTAGTTGATCAATTATTTTTCCCCTTTAGGAGTTTCTCATCTGAATTTTCCCATCTGAGTTTTAAATGTGAAGGAACGCAACCAATTATTCATGGCTGAATTTACAGAGCTCTGTGTTCATTTGAGAACATTCTGCCTCAGAAATGCCTCTACCACTGTCTGCTTCTATGTTTAGAGCTTCCAGAACTTGTTTTTAATCAAGAATTCTAAATCGTTACGTTGTATGTTACACTCCATTAATTAACAAAGGCATGAAATTGTTTTGCAGTTAATTAACTGCAATGTATATTTTAAAACAATGCCTTGAGTTTTGTTGCACATTTAAATGAGTAATGCACAGAGGATAAAATAAAATTCCTACAGATTTCTGAATGAAGTCAGTCAAAGGAGTTTACAAATATTCATTGTACAGTAAAGAACTGGCACAAAATCTGGCAAGTTTTTGATTCTCCCCATTGAAATTGGTTTAAACATGCTTGTAAAAGTTATAAAAATATTGGCTCTCGTAATCCAATTTTACCGGGGGTAGGGAGGACAAAAAAATTAAAAAATTATAGCTATTTATGTAACTATAGACATAAATGACTAAATCAAGAATCTGACTTGATCAATAATCAGAAAAGTTCCACAGTAAGTGGAATAAAATATTCAACTAACCATTTGATAGGTCATTTCTCTGTTTTTTGGCATGATTACTCCTGGGACTTGAAAATGGACTTATTAGACATGTTCCTGTTGTTGGTGAAAAAAGAAGGCCATTTTTCTTTCCTTTTACTGGTGATGTTGCTGGCACCTGGACCAACAAAAAACAACAAAAAGCATTTTGTATGTTAGGATAATGCAGTAAAAAAGCACTTGTCACATTCTCCCTTTCAATGCCGATATACTTATTATTTAAAATAGTTATAATCTACCTATCTTGCGATCCAGAGTTACATATATTTTAATATTTTCAGCATAATTCTGTGTTACATCAAAGTCAACTCAGGTAATTTTGCAAGAGGGTGATCACAACAGAAAAATATAGTTGATCTTAAGTGTGTCAACCCTCAAAACGACTTTGGCCATGCTTAACTTTTGTTTCATTTCCCAGTTGCCACTCTTGGGGGGTGGGAGTCAAAAGGTATTGGAATGTGGTGCCCTAACCTTCTAGACAAAATATTGACCAGAGTCATGGCAACGAACACCTGCTGAGATTGAGAGGGAAGCTGCTGATGAACTGATTGGTTAAGACACCTGAGGGGGGTGGGTGGGAAGTTTCTATTCTTTTAACTACCCTAAGGCATGGGAATTACTTAGAGCTAGCTTCAACTTTCTACGTGCTGACATGATGTACTCAATAAAAGGTCTTTTGAGCCTGACTGAAGTCTCAGAGTCCTGATTCAGTTGGGTTCATTATTCAGAATCATGACATCTGTAATAGAATGTACAACTTTGGAGAAGGTGTAGGGGGAGGATTTTGGCAAAAGCACTATGGTTTACTAGGGAAGCGACAGTGCACTCCAGAAAAAAACTCAAAATAAGAGACTGCACAGTTCTGAACTGGATGGGAGAGAGAGGAAGAAATTCAAGAAGCAACCTCCTATAATCTCTAGGGGTACTTCTATTACATTAGAAGGTTATAGTTTTAATCTGGCAAAATCTGTCTAGTAGGTATAAGCAAATAAAGGATTGGAGTCAATTTGATTTTGCTGTCTAATCCTTAGACTTGGGCCTGATAGCTGCAGGTTTTTATTATGATTATTAACCTAATATTTATTAAATGCCATATAAAGAGCAAGACATTTCTAACTCCAGTTTTGCTACTCAAAATTTATGGAAAAGTGGAGGGAAGGGAGGAAAAGTAGAATGAAATAAGAAATAAAGAACACTCAGGATTTAATTCTTAAGATTACAAATTAAAGTTTCCATCACCTACATAGATTCTCAAAACAGACCACAGAAGCCATTGGATGAGATATATTTTAGCGGTCTTGTAATTTGAACACTTTCTTGCAACATTTAGGAATACAGTTTTCACCCTCAGCAAAAAGGTAGTTCTTCTAATTTTCATGATTATTTTTACCTCTGATTTTTGAAAAACTAATGAAATTATAAACCTGCAGCAAGAGATCTGACTGAGCAAACATGCCAAATAATTATTCTTAAAATAAACATTTTCCCCCTTTGAAATTTCCATTTCAGAAGAAAAAGCAACTTTAGGGTGGAATAAAATAATTTCAAGCTGGATCACTTGTTTCCAAAAACACCCTTCTGACCTAGAAAGCAGATGCAAAATTACAGTCACAGCTGTATTTACAGCACATAATGAATAATAGAAAATGAAATTGCAAATTACATTGCTAATGATTGTTATTTGTTTGGCTTGAATTTTGTTTCAATCCAAACAAAGAGAAATATACATATTTTAGAATGGTCAAATTTTCAGTTTAGCTAAGCTATAGCAAATCTTCTATAAAATAAAATGGCACATGCAGACAAAAATGGAAATTCATTTTATTTACAGTTTGATATATTTTCCTATTATTTCTTCTCTTTCACAAGCTACCTGGTTTAGCTTCACAGAAACACCCATAATCAGTATTGGAAGAAAATAAACTAGTATATGTCATGGTACAATGGGTCTAGAAACACACAGTGCCACATTTTACCAATGAGAGAGAACAAAAGAGAAACACAGAAACAATATAATTTCATTTTTATTGTGATAACTGAATGTGACATTTATTACAATGTTACAGTATATTATGTTGAATTACTTTTCTCAGCTAATTACATTCTCATCATAAAACGCCTTCATTTGGCTTTCAATTTTGCAGTTTATAATATGCAGATTATAGTATTATCATAATTGCATATTGTTATATGTACATTCAGATATCAGTGCATTTGCTTCACCAATTATAAAACTCATTTCTAATAAACAATGTCATAAAAACATTTGGTGCTGGAGAGAGATTTTAATAAAACAAAACAAAGAACAGCAATATATTTCCTTAGTTATAGTCAATTGTTTCATGCAAAGTCAGAATATTATATAAAATAACATTGCCTTCAAAGATCTCTAGTAATCACTTCTATACATTCAGATATATTGTATCGTTGATTATTAAATTGTTTATAATTTCTCTGAAATCTTGTTCATTTACACACATCAAAAATTTCCTAAAAATAATTTAAATACAGGACAGAAAAACAAAAATCTTACTTTTTCTGGAATAAGATTTTCCAGCTTCAAAGCTCTTTTAGCACTATAAAAGATGGAAAGCAAAGGAAAATGTTAATCTAAGTACATCCTTTACTGGTAGCTAGTAATAATCCCCATTAACTAACCCTAACCACATGCAAACAACATTTTCTTACGGTAAGAACTAACCTCATACAGGTATACATTGAACAAGTTGGTAATACTGCTCTGAAAACTGATCACATTTGTGCTGTTTTCTCACATGTGGCATACAACTGGAATAAACCCTTTGATTAGAATACCAATATCAGATTACCCAAAATATGTATTAACTATAAAGTACTACCGGTAATAATGAACATTGTTCATGGAACTGCATAGTAACTTACCTCATTATTTTTCAAGGTGAAAAAAGCAATTCTTATATTTCCGCTCTTAACATGATTCAGTGCTGCTAGACTACGACTGAATTAAGGAACAGATGCTCTATGACTTTACAGGTCCCTAAACCGTAAGAAAATATTTTCTCGCATTCTTCACTGTACTGATTCGGGAATGTGCCAGCTTCCTCTCTAAAATCTGTTTTCCTGAACTGGATGCCCAGCTGTTAATGGCAATACTAGAAATGAAAAGCTGAATATTTATAATATTTTAGATTGTACAGCTGTCTTCTAAAGAGCAGTCATCAGAATTTTATTGAATGCAGACTAAATACTTTAAAGAAAGAAAGATCAATATAAATTAGGACTACTGTTCCCAGAGACAACTCCAATGTACCTTCTCAAATCTTAACAATATTTAAAGGGCCTTTTTTCCCTGTAAAGGAACTAAGAATTATTTAATAAATGCATCAGAAGATAATTTTATATTAAACAACGTTTGCAGAGGGTTTTCATTTCAAAAAAGGACATTACAGGTATCACATTGGAAACAGGCCATTTTACTGTTTCCAAACAACCACAGCGCTAGAAAGAGTAAACCTCACAAAAAATTACCTGCATAAACGGCACTTATGTGCAATGCCAAAGCCCAAACTAATCTTGCAAAAAAATATTTTTACTTTATTTATTATTTTGAGATGAAACATATGAGAAAAGTTTAAGGACATCTTTGAAGTATGACTTTATATTGCTCGCTTAAAATGAAAATGAAAACCATTTTTGTCTTTAAAACAAACAAGTAACACTATATGGTATTTACATTTTTCATGTTAAAAGCGTTCTTGGCAAGATACAGTCAAAGCTGAAAGAATTTGACAAAATTCCTAAAGGAATGTTCTTTTTAATACATAGTGCCCGGTATTGCTTAAAGAATGTAGACTCCATTACATCTTCTGTATCTCAGTGGCAGCAAGGAAACACTGTGTACATTAATACATTCTCTCTGCAAAGATGCTGCAGGGGGCATGTATTTGCATTCGACACTAAGGCATGTTATGATGGAAGTTTTTACGGTGGACTTCAAAGAAAGCTGGAAGCAAAAGTACAGTGGAATCTGCACTCAAGATAGCTTTATGATTAGGATAAATGGCAAACTACATGAAAATCCCATTAAACTATAGCAAACTGGGGGGAAAAATCTAGGAAAAACGTTAGACTGGCCAAGCAGTATGCTATTTAAAATCTGTCAGAGACTTTGGGTGGCAGCAGAGTTACAGCATACCCAAATTTTCTTTCCTCTGCCTGTGGAAATGCTGAAAACTTGGAAATAATTGAACTCGTTAGCCATTCAGTCCAAGAAATTACCACTTTACCAGGAGAAGAAAATTCGTGTTGCCACATTTCTGTTACACAATTATTTTAGGTACATATTTCCCCTATGCAATAGGAGTAAAACTCAACAGTTGCAAAGACCTTTACAGATTTAAGGAATGACATTTCTTAAATGGGAAAGTGAAGGAGCATCAATTCAAGGCTATATTGTGAAAAAGAAAGCATAATCTGAGAAGCATTTATTATGTTTCTTTTGTATCGTTCTTCTATAGCATAGTTATAGGAGGAGAAAATACATTTTATTTAAGCAGGACTGGTTTATCATTCAGATCAAATAGCCAAATGGGACAGTGAATCAATTAAATGTATAACAGTGTACAAGATGTGCTTTGGCTAATGCTGCCTACTAGTTGGAGGTAGCTTCTTCTCACCTTCTCAAAAGTTAATGCATGCAATGAGACATGCTTCCATGTAAAAATATACAAGCAAGGCCAACACTCAAGCTGTCAACAAAATATTTGTACTTTATTCTCTTGAGATGAAATATAATGAGAAAAGTTTAAGGACATCTTCGAAGCATAACTTTATATTGCTGGTTTTGATTTTAGGATTATTTTGAAAACGTATTACTGGAAAAAACAATTGTGTATTAAAAGAATAAGCTAAGTTATATGGTATTTATGTTTTCATGGTAAGAGCCACTCATATTCTTGCCAAGGGACAATCAAAGCTGAACAGTTGAGTCTTTCTCTGAGCTTGTTTGCTTGCAGATATTTCATTACCTGACTAGGTACAGTGTACAGAATACACACTCATCAGTGGTACTGAGTGTGGTGTTTGCTCCCTGTTTATAAACAGAAACTTGCTTTGCCATAGTTGGTGGGGGAATTGTTTTCTCAATCATACTTCCTTTGATTACAGTATTTTTCCTTGACTTCCTTAATTCTTCACAGACCTTCAGGATCAGGGTACTAAGGAGAAAACCCAAAGCAAACACCACACTCACTAGTATCAATGATAGTACCTAATCAGGTAATGAAACATCCATGATCAAACAACTAAGCTCAGAGAGCACCAAGGACTCCACTATTCAACCTTAAGCTACGTATATTTTATTCTCTTGGTGAAGCTAAAACAATTTCACAAAATTCTCAGCAACATGTTCCCTTTTTAAATACAGGGCCCTGTAAATATAGAGCCTGTAAAAATACATATTCCTGTTTAAATTAAATTTATTTTCCCAAGAAATCCAGTGATGTGTAAGTCATAACACTCTTGCTCAGATGATTTCAGCAGAACCTGTTATAAACGATTAACAAGCCCTGGAACCACTTTCTGTCTTTTGAGCATAGGCTCAATTGTGACATGGAATTCTTGTGTTCTTATGAGATAAGGTGCACATATACCCATTCATTAAAGCCAGCATGACAACATAATATTTGAAATTTGGCATATTTTGAATAGCTTTCCATCATCTCTCAGCAGCAAGACTGGAGACAGTTAACTTCTAACTTAAGGCACCAAGTCACCTATTCCAGCAATAGTCTGGTCCCTATTTTTCTACTTGCATTTTTACATTCTTTCGAACTGCTAGGTTGGCAGAAGCTGGGACAAGTAACAGGAGCTCACTCTGTTATGTGGTACTAGGGATTCGAACTGCTGAATTGCTGACCTTTCTGATCAACAAGCCCAGCATCTTAGCCACTGAGCCACCGCGTCCCTTTATATCTTAAGGCACCAAGTCACCTATTCCAGCAATAGTCTTTTTTTTTTTCTCTGAAGAAAATCCTATAACCTTCTTAGCAGTGTGAAACATATTATGTTATGAATCATGGTATATTTATTTTTTGGCCATCTTGAGAATCAGCAATCCAAAACAGCAACATATAGTATAGCTGTTCTGCTCATTTAACCTCAAGGAATCTACCAATGTTATATCAATAAGTCTACATGAAAAATATGTATAATCTGCATTACATGAAAAGCAGCTAGAATTCATATTTCTACGATCATATAGTTTTAAAGTGCTACAAAATCGGAAGCCCAATCATATCAGTCTGCCCTACACAAGAAAGTATTTCTGAGTACTCAACTGCCTTTTTTGAACCAGCAAGATATTTAAACCAAATAAGGGTCCCTAAATCCAAAAGAACATTAACATATTTCAATGCCCTTTCAAAAGCTGATCTCAAGGCAAATATTCTGCAAAAAAACCTCTTCCAAGTTGAGATTGTACCCTTGTGGGAAAGGATCCACTGAATCTATAGTTCATGGCCTATAGTTTAAGGACATCTATGAGCACTTAAGGGCTTGTTTCATAATTTCCTAGTTTGCAAAGTATCCAGACAATTTTGAATTATTTTTGGTACAGTTGCTTTTATCATACCTGTAAATTTTAATTCTTTGAATGTAGTTAAGATTTTGTTACCCTGTCTATAAATTAAATATGCCCTGATTGCCTCAGTGACCTAGTTATAATTTTATGTTCTTGGTTTTATTCAAAATAGAAAGTAATTATGTGAATAACTCTGAGAATTCTGGTCAACCATAATAAATTATTACTAGCACCATTTCTATGGATACATTAAGCTTCTGAAATACTTCAGAAATCCATTATACTGCACACCTCATAATCCCTCAGCAATGGAAATACAAGATCTAGAATTTGATCCAAGTCATTCTGGGGAAATCTGAAATATTAATGAGTCACCTACACAACATAGAATATAGAGTAGTAGAGTTGGATGGGACCCTGGAGATCTTCTAGTCCAGGTCCCTGCTTGCGCAGGAGACCCTATACCATTTCAGACAAATGGTTGTCCAATCTCTTTTTTGAGCCTCCAGTGATGGAGTACCCACAACTTCTGAAGGCAAGCCATTCCATTGGTTGATTGCTCTCAAGTTAGAAAATGTCTTTTTAGTTCTAGGTTGCATCTCTCCTTGGTTATTTTCCAACCACTGCTTTTTGTCTTGCCTTTTGGTGCACAATTTTGCAGATTTTGGGCCACATTTTCTCTCTGATTTTAAAGGACTATAAAAATGTACAGCAAATCCTGGCATAGTTTAAAAGTAAAAACTCCTCACAGTATCAGGTCCAAATAAAAAAAAACTTATTTATCTGAGTAATGGAGCAATTTTGCCTTATTAGTTCAGAATTTAATCCTCAGCTCTCCTCCATCATATTAAGTAGAACTTCCACTAACCAAAAATGAACTACTTGGAGAATTAATAGAAGTCCATCACATATATGTCAGCTCACACATGTACATGTGCCTGATCATTTTTAGAGCTCTTGCTGATTATGGCTGGGTTCACATAATATTTAAAGCTAAAATCAACCAAATTGTCAAATAAATTATGGTCTAGCATTTTGTATAAACTCAAAGTTTGATGTTGCTCACTTTTTACTTGAATTGCACATCTTACTAAGATAGCACTAGCTATTGTACATTTGCCTGCCAAACTAAACCATAAACTATAGTTTAGTATGTGGTATGAATCCAACTCTGATAGTTAATGGTCAGTGAAAATTATGAATAAGTTATGTTTACTCAGTGGATCATCATTATTGTGTAATTTCCAGCAGCAGCAGCAGCAGCAGCTGTCAAGAGGAATGCTTGGTTCAAAAATAAAAACTTTAAATAGTTGGAATCATACATTTAATCATAGGTTGCTGAAGATCCTAATAACATTGTGCTAAGCCACCATGATTTAATGTGATGTGTGAACCCAAAAAACAGGAGTAACCTTATATATCCTTTATTATGCTAAATATATAAACTTTTCTGAAACAATATAAAGTCTCAAAAGTGTTTAAGACAAGCATTTAAATGGGAATTTTCATCAATGCTAAAGTACTATCAAATGAAGAGAGGTGGAAAAGAATGCTTCAATTCATACTAGGAAACAAAATGAGGTATATGTGCTGTATTTATTACCTTTTCAAGTACACAAAAAAAGGGAAATCCTCAACCTAATCATTATAAATCTCAGCAGGACTTTTTCCTAATTTATCAAGTTAAAGTCCATTTGGCTCTCTAACAAGCAGGTGGAAATCACTTTTCATCTGAATATTTATCCTATATATTCACTGAAGTTTTTCACAATCTAGTTCCCTTTTCATATCATTTCCAGATAGAAAAGCCGGTGTCACTTGGGCTGGAAATGATTGGGCTGCTAATGTAATACATTTGGAGGACACCAGATAGGTGGAGGCTCTTCACTGTTAGAAATATTAATTATGACGGGTGAGAGGAAATACATAGGCTGTACATAATTCCAAAGCACTAGTGCCATGGTTATTCCTGCATTAATAGCACTCTGAGTAGCAGCTTAGTGTAATGGTTGAGGCATCAGGCTAAAAAGCAGGAGATCATGAGTTCTAGTCCTACCTTAGGCACAAAGCCAATGGACTGGCTTTGGGGTCAGTCACTCTTTAGATCTAAGCAACAGGCAATGGCAAACCACTTCTGAAACACCTTGTCAAGAAAACTGCAGGGATTTTTCCAGGCACTGCCAAGAGTGAAAAACTAACTTGGCAAATGCATGCAAAAATTAGCACCTTACCTAGAATAGAATAATAGAGTTGGAAGGGACCTTGGAGGTCTTCAAGTCCAACTCCTGCTCAAGCAGGAAACTCTATATCATTTCAGACAAATGGTTGTGCAATCTCTTCTTACAAACTTCCAGTGTTGGAACATTCACAACTTCTGGAGGCACGTTGTATCACTAATTGTTCTGTCAAGAAATTTCTCCTTAGTTCCAGGTTGCTTCTGTCCTTGATTAGTTCCCATCCATTATTACTTCTTGTCCTGTCTTTCTTGTGCTTTGGAGAATAGCTTGACTACTTCTTCTTTCTGGCAACCCCTGAGATATTGGAAGACTGCTATCATGTCACCCCTACTCCTTTTTTCCCATTAGACTAGACATACCCAATTCCAGCAACAGTTCTTAATATGTTTTAGTTTCCAGTCCCGTAATCATCTTTGTTGCTCTTCTCTGCACTCTTTCTAGAGTCTCAACATCTCAACACCTACAACAACAGCACCTACACTCTTCTGTCAGTGTAGTGGAAGACAGTTATTAATGCAATAGGGCAGGGGCCCCTAAACTTGGCAACTTTCAGACTTGTGGACTTCAACTCCCAGAATTCTCCAGCTAGCATAGCTGGCTGGAGAATTCTGGGAGTTGAAGTCCACAAGTCTTAAAGTTGCCAAGTTTGGGACCTCTGCAATAGGTGGAGAGGTCTCTGTCCGCTCTCCGGCTAACTTACACTCTTAACTGACACTGGCACCATCAGAACCCGTTGGTCTTCGGCTGTGTTCGCAAGACCTAGTGAACACGATTCTCAGAACATGCTTCCATTGAAATGCGACTAGCAAACCTAACCTCGGCCCTGCGCTGCCAGCCAACCCGCCTGCAATGGTGCCTCTCCGCTGCCCCTTCCCCCCCAATTTCCCTCTTACCGCGGCATCAGGACCACCTCCAAGCCTTTCCTCGGCAGCGAAGCTGAGACTCCCGCCCCAAGTCCGAACGGTGCAACGCTCAAAAGTGGCCGGGCGGGAACACCAACTCTAAGCCTAAAAACAGCGTTCCCTTTTGCTTGGCTTCGCGTGAGCGGCCGAGGCTCTTTATCGTTTTCCTTTCCTTTTGTTCTCCTCTTGCCCTTTTCCGAATACCATCAGATTCTCACCAAGATAAAATTCCCCGTAGTTATTTGCAGGCGAGCAGTGGCAAGAAAGAGAAAAGAGGCAGTCCTAAAACTCTGGATTTTATTTTTAGGAAAGATCAATGAAAATAGCCAGACTTGGGTTGATATTTTTCCTTCAGTGGTTAAGACGAATTCTGCCAAGCTATACGTTTTCCTGAAAAGAATTGCAGTGTCTTAGGTCCTTTGGTGTTTCACAGATGAAATTAAGGCTGCTGTCTGGTATTTCAATACTCTTTCTCCTTTCATTCTCTATTTTTTTTAAAAAAAGTTCCTAGAAGACCAGCGCACTCTGCAAATATTCAGTTCTCAGTTGAGCATTTATTGCATTACTCTTATACACACGTGGGCGCACCAACAAAGGTTTAAATAACATCATGAACAACAAAGGAAAATTATATTTTTTCCAGTTGTGGGAAAATACTGTAGTAAATAAAAAATGAATGTTATCTCAGATATCCTAAGGATAGTCTTGCTTATATTCTGGAAAGAAAAAAAACTCTACGTGCCTTGAAATGTTTTGACTTACTCTGCCAGTTCCAAATGTAAATACTAATTTTGAAAAAAAAAAGGGGGGGGGTTAGAATTGTTTTCTAGCAAAGATTAAGAATTTGCAGTTTCCCCAATGGGATTTGGTATAGGTTTTCAAGAATGGCACTGTGGCTAATGGCCAAAGAATCTACAAGAATAGTTGCTTGTAATAATAATCATATGTTAGTGCTGCCCTGAATCAATGCACAGCAGAACAAAACCCTCTTCGTTCAATGATGGGTGTCAAACTCGCAGTGTCAAAGCAGCATTACATGATGTGTTGCACCTTTTTTCACCTTTGCTAAAACAGTCATGGGTGTGGCCAGCACATAATGCATCCAGCCCAGGGCTGTCTTAATAGGATTATTGGCTCCGGGCAAAGCAGTATACTGGAGGCCCTATGGGAAGTACTCACTGGAATAAAATGTAAATGTAAATAAAATAAAATATATTTATTTTATTGGCATTTCCAACAAATAAATATGTAATAAATATGTTGCTGTATTGATATGATACAAGGTGCATTGAAGGGTTAACATACACAGATTAGTATAGGGCCTTATGCTCGTGGGGCCCACGGGCAAGTTCCCATCAGGCCCCTGCATTGAGATAGCCCTTGTCCAGCCCGCGGGCCATGAGGTTGACCCCTCTGTTATAGAATGTCATCAGCCACACTAGATCATTGCAGATTGAGAGATAACCTTCCTTCCTACCCAGCTTGCTGTCCAGAATGATTTGCTATACCACATTGGCTCTCAATTATATGTAAACTTAAGGTATAATTAAATGTTAAATGAGTCATTACATCTGAGCCTACACAGCCTTACCTATTTCTGGCTACCTATTGAGCACATCAACATTTCTATACAATAATACGACATTAAAGGTAAAAGGTAAAAATTCCCCTCGCACAAACGTGCTAGTTGTTTCTGGCTCTAGGGAGTCATGCTCATCTCCATTACAAAGCCGAAGAGCTAGCGCTGTCCAAAGACGTCTCCATGGTCATGTCTCCATGGTCATGATTAAACACTGAAGGCACACGGAACACTGTTACCTTCCCACCAAGGTAGTCCCTATTTTCCTACTTGCATTTTTACATGCTTTCAAACTGCTAGGTTGTCATAAGCTGGGACAAGTAACAGGAGCTCACTGAATTATGCGGTGCTAGGGATTTGAACCGCCAAACTGCCGACCTTTCTGATCTATGTCTTAGCCACTGAGCCAACGCATCCCATTACTGATTCTCAATTCATAAAATTAGTTATCCGCTAATATCAAGAGAGTTCTCATTAAAGCAACTCAACAAACTTCCAACTATCCTTTTCCTTCAATGAGCCTGTGATTCACTCATCTCTCTTATACACTATGGAATAAACATTGGTTTTCCCTCTCCCCCAGCTATCAATTATCATCATTTTTGAGTAATATTTTTGTCAGATGCAATTGATTTCTTTTATTGAAGTTTATTTAAAACATTTATATAGCTGCCCATCTTTTGCCAATTCTGGACAGCTTCCAATCAATATATTTGCAAGCATAGATCTTCATTAGACTGCAGGCTTCTGGTATAATCTGAAGCATAAAAGAATCATATTTACATTGTTTGCCATTTTCATTCACTTGTAGCCATATTGTAGGTAGTATCTGAGAGAGGTGAATAGCAACTACTCCCTAATCCTGCAACACCTCAACTGTGCAGAATGAACAAGTATAGGAACTATAGGAACTAACAGAGTTTCCTTTAGTACAAAACAGACTTACTACCCTAGTATATCAAGATGACATCAATAACATCTTGGGAGGACTATATGGCAGAATATTCAATATGAATTATTAGATGTGCATGGTTGTGTTCTAGTCTTGCTGATAGATAAATAAATTACTCAGAAAAGCAGTATGAAGGGGAAATAGTTTTAAGTGTAAATATGAGATAATTACTCTGAAGAAATAATAGGAATTAGACTTTGAAAATTCTACATCTGGCTTCACACCATATTAGCCTCGCCAAAATTATCTCTAGCAACATTTTTTATTGAGCTTTCAATGCAGCTTTTATTTGAATAACCATAGTGAAAAAAGCTTTCTTCCACTTAAATAATCTGCATACTATATAACTGCCCAAATGAGAAATGGCTAAATAATGACAGAGGTCATGAGCAGAGACACATGTTCATACTTGATGGAGTGGATGGCTGTAAACTTAACATTCTTTTGTTCACTCATTGGCTAGAACTCACTGTCCTTTGTGTGTGCTAACACTGGTTCTTAATTATTATAGTGACACAAGTTTGCAGTAACTGGACTGTATCCCTGGGGCCACTATAGTATGAAACTGTCAAGCAAGGCAAACAGTTGTTATAAATAGGGTACTTTATCCATGATAAGTGATTATTATCTTTCTTTCCCAAGTGCAAAAGCCCTATATAATTCAAAAAGTTGCTTGTGATTTAGGCCTCTCAAATAAGGCTCCAGTAAGTCCTGAAAGGGTCCCTACCTACTGTTGTCTTCTTACTGAACTTGATGTATTCAATTTTATACCATAATATATTTTTCAGAAGTCACTCCTGGATTAAATAATTTTACAGGCTGTTCTATCGACAATACAGTATGCTACAGTTTAATGCACTTTGTGATGGTCTTCTAAAATCTTAAATCACTTTTGGTCAAAAAAAGAAAATGACACTCTACTTCTACTAGTTATACGCGAGAAAAAAACTTGCTCAATTATAACTGTTTAAAAAGAAATGCTGTAATGGTAGTCACTTGTAATAGATGATATACTGCTGTTTTCCATAGACCTACTGAATTTACATTCACTTGACTCTTTTTTTGGAAAAAAGAAACTACAACTAACTCTGCACCAAAGGTAATCAAATTCTGACAAGAATTAGCTGAACTTTTACAATAATTTTAACAAAACCTATTTTCATTGATGCATGCTTAGCATTTCAATAATGTACATCAGGGTCCCTAAACCCTGGACTATGGTCCATTCTGGCCTTGGACTGTTTGCATCTGGGCCGCGTGACTAGCTGGCCAATGCACATGCTCATCTCATCTTGTGCAAATAGCAGGCCAGTACGCATGCTCGCAGCTCGACTTCCACAAGTGGCAGGCTGGTGTGCATGCTGTTTAATTTGCATGAGCGCAGGCCTGCACACAAGTGTGCATGGCGGGCTGCCACTTGTGCAGTCCTGCTCCTTTCTCCCTCCCCCGATTAGGCTGCCAAACCATAAAAGGTTGGGGTTCACTGATCTACTGGAGCAAATGTACCACAATAATTCCCATTCAGGTGTTACAATTATTTTTATATTTCATCTTTCCTCTGAAGAATTCTAGAGAATTTCTTACTTAAATAATATTGTAGGGGAAGTATAGTAAGTGATCCAAAATCATAGCTGTTTGGGAATTTGAATCTGGTATTCTGACCCAGGCTTAGCAGAACCAAGAAACAGACTCCTTGTCCCCCAAACTCCGTCTTTATTTAGTTACTGTGAATTCATGGCATTCACACACAGAAAATAATTTTCACACACGGCGATAATTCTTCCAAGGGTTAAGTGGAAGAACAGACCTTATCAGTCCTTGGATAATTGCCAGGCCAGAGCTTCCTGTTGCAAAGCTGTAAATTAATTCCTGGCAAAGAGTCTTGAACCACGATAAGCAAATCTTCATAATAATAAGCAAACTAATTGTCTCCTGAAATCACCACTCCTTTTTTGCTTCTATTTATTTCCCAGGGAGGAGTCATTCAGCATCTACATATGCCTTTCTTTCTGAGTTGGCCCCTGTTCCTTAGTTGTTCTCCTCTCCTGGCAGCTCTGCACATACGCGCATCTGGAACAGGCTCCAGTTGTTCTTCTTCCCCACTTATCTCCAATTCCGTAGGCAGCTGGGAAATATCAGATGGCCCTGGCCCTATCTCTGCTTCCAACGCAGAGCACCCATTAGAGCCTTCCCCAGACTCCAGGACTGGCCCAAGTTCCTCCCCAACCTTCTCAATGTCCGAGTCTGCTGCTAGCTCCGCTGGCAGCTGGCGAGCCACAACATCTGGGCCAGTTCTAGATGAAAAAGAACTGCACGCTTAAACATTCTTTCTAAAAGGCAAATTCCATTCAGTGTAGTGGAGTTTGTATTATTAATTAAATACATTAAATTAGATTGTAAAGAATTATAAAGTATTTTGTTTTGGTCTTAGCATGTAAAGCTTACCATGGTAGCTTGTCAGTTATGGTTTCCAATTTAGGTTATGCAGATCCAAAAACTGGGGCTTATTCAATCC